ATGCGGTTTGGCAGCTGTCTTTCTTATTACAAGATCTATTTCTACGTGGAAAATTTTTGGATACGACCCTTTTTAACCCTTCATTTCGTTTCAAGCTTTGCTTACGTCACTGCCACGAAGTAGAATAACTTTCGATTTACCCTCTAGCGTGAATACTGTTTCACATCCCTGCGGGATTTGATATTTCCCCTACCAAATTATATTGTTCGCTGAATGATGCTGCCTGCATTTAGAGAGAATGTCGAAGTTATCCATTTCTTTTGCTAATTGTGAAATCTGCCTTCAGCAAACAGAACTTCTACACAATTATTGATCTTCCCGAGGGAGAGCATCAGTACAAGTTCATTGTGGATGGTCAGTGGAAGCTGGGGAAGAACCAGGTCACGATGAATTGCATATAAGTCTCTTTCTTATGTTTATGGCTGCTTTTTAAACCTGTGACGATCAACCCTATACTATACTATTTGCGAACTGTGAAACTGGTGTTTCATTGTTAGTATTCCTTTTTATGCTGCTGCCTTCGGGGTTCCCTATAGTATGGCGGGTCGCGTGACTGCCTCTACTGAAGCGTGTCCCTTGGTTTGAGTCATGAATTGGCAAGGCAAATTCTGTATCTCTTTGGTAGCATAAGGTTTTCATTACGTGCTTCGTCACTGGCATTAGTTACTTGGTTGTTCGTATGGCTCTCTTGTTTGTGGTTCAAATAACTTCACCTTCTGGTCATCAGTATTGTGGCACTTAACGGCTAGAGTGTAGACAGTTCAAACATCTTTGTTGTCCATTACCAGTGGCGTCAAAAACCCGTTTTTTAGTGTTTTGGTACCGAGGGTCTACTAAAGCAGTCTACCTACAAAAGTAAATCTTGTGGGGTTCGGTGGTTGTAAATGGCGTGAATACTTCTTTTCACTTGCAGTACTACTATGCACTCAGGTGCAAGGTTTTCCGAGGCTTGGTTATTGTTATGGTAATTAGGTATCTTTGGGGACTACTCGCTGCGATTTTTTCGACTTGATGTTTAAGTTTTCTGATTTCTGCGCATTTATGTCCTGTTGCGTGTTTTCAAAGACTGTTATTTATTTGGGTTTCTCAACATTTATTGATAAGTGGGCTGAATTTAAAAGGGTGGCGTTCTTCAGGGTGGGATTATTATTGAGTAACTAAAAAAGATTAACTCGAGATTTCCGTCTCATTCTACAGTTCATCGGTTCTTGTCTGTCTACACGTTGTATTTCGCGAACTAAAGTTGTGGCAGGTTTGCAATTAAGTCGGACAATGAGGGTTGAGTTGCCTTTGCGCTTCCTTCTCGCCAACCTTTGTAAAATTGGATTTCATCCTTCTCCAGTTGGTACTTCAATACCTATATTTCAACTAGGCTTCTAATATGACTGGATGCCTGCTTTTTCCTTTAAATGAGCCTTAAATGACCTTTGACCGTGATTTCTCTTGATGGAGTCTCCGTAAACGTGTAGTTGTATGTAGGTGGAGATTGGACATCATCATTACTGCTTGGTCATGATGCCCGCTCTGCCTCTGCCTTTTTTACTGACGCCAGACATTATACTTTTCATACGCTCTTGGACCTGACTCTCACCGATCCGTCATTCGAACAAAATTTAACTTTTTCCTTTCGATTTCTCGATCTCCAGCCAACAACAACAAGTCCAACAGGAGTGCAGAATAATATAATAACGGTGAATTTGTCAGACTTTGATGTGATTGAGGCGCTTACCAACATGGACGCAGTGCCGACAGGCAGTTCACCACCGGGCGAATATGGGCAAGTGATTCCTCCCAATCCCCTTACGGGCTTGGGAAGTCCAGGCTCGGGAATGATGCCTTGCACCTCACCCCATACCGGCAACTCACCCAACGTCCAACCTGCCGCTCTCACCACCCTTGGTGTAGACGCGAAATCCTCTAAACCTCCTCTGCTTCCACCTCAACTCCTTCAGGTCAGATAATTTCCTTTCTCTCTGATGCATACTGCTGTCAACCGTTTGGCGTTTATATCTTAAGAATTCTCTACTTTGTACTGTTATGCTTTTTTTACTGGTTACCGTTCTTGATGTTGATCGAGGCTTACGCTTTTCCTTGCTTCATAGTGGTCAGTCACCTTATTTGATCCTGATTCGACTAAATTAATCTGTGTGTTATAGATTTCACATCTGATATAACTCCGGGGGCTAGTTTTTTTTGCAAATTAAATCGTCATGGGTCTGTATTCCCGAAAGGGAGCCACACAGTTCATCTTTGGCATGATTTTGTTTGGGGAAATGCCTAAAAATCCCTTTTGTTCTCAATACCAAGGTATTGACATATCTGCTGGAAATTTTATGGTGTTGTCAGATTGGCACTGTTGCTGGAAAAGAATTTTATTTTGTTATTGCAGGACATTGATCGTCCTGTTTATGTTTACCTGATAAAGAAGCATATTTTGGTCTATCCTCTTGAAAGGCAGTTATATCCGGTGCTGAAATTCAAAACTCTGATCTATCTATTTCTTCACATTGAATTTTCTGCTCTCAGCTTACAGTCCTGAAATGGCAATTTTTGCTTTATTAGTCATGATATATTGTTTTAAAGCTTTTAACAATCGTAATCATTGCTTCCGCTAACATTACACCAGTAAGTCATTGTCGGTGTTTGATGAGTCAAAAGCTGCCTCTCAAGATGTAATTCGCGTATTGTCGAGGACACAACTTCGAGTTCCACATGATTTCGTTCACATCTTTTCTTGAAATCAGGCAACCTAATTATCATCGCTTTTTCATTTATCTGCCCCTTCAAAGC